CCTCTCCCGTCTATGTACCGTGCCTACCATTAAGTGACCTCTCCCCACTATGTACCGTGACTACCATCAGGTGACCTCTCCCCTCTATGTACTATGACTATCATTAGGTGACCTCTCCCCTCTATGTACTATGGCTATCATTATGTCACCTCTCCCCTCTATGTACTGTGACTATCATTATGTCACCTCTCCCGTCTATGTACTGTACCTACCATTAGGTAACCACTCCCCTCTATGTACGATGACTACCATCAGGTGACCTCTCCCGTCTATGTACCGTGACTATCATTTATGTCACCTCTCCCGTCTATGTACTGTGCCCACCATTAGGTTACCTCTCCCCTCTATGTACCGTGACTACCATTAAGTGACCTCTCCCGTCTATGTACTGTGCCTACCATTAGGTAACCTCTCCCGTCTATGTACCGTGCCTACCATTAAGTGACCTCTCCCGTCTATGTACTGTGCCTACCATTAGGTAACCTCTCCCCTCTATGTACCGTGACTACCATTAGGTGACCTCTCCCCTCTATGTACTGTGACTATCATTATGTCACCTCTCCCGTCTAGGTACTGTGCCTACCATTAGGTGACCTCTACCCTCTATGTACTGTGGCTACCTGAGGTCAACTCTCCCCGCTATGTACTGTGACTACCTAAGGTCACCTCTCCCCTCTATATACTGTGGTTACCTCAGGTAACCTCTCCCCCCTATGTGCTATAGCTATCACAGGTAACCTCTCCCCTCTATTCATCGTGACTACCATTAGGTAACCTCTCCCCTTTATGTATCGTGACTACCATTAGGTGACCTCTCTCCTCTATGTACTGTGACTATTAATATGTCACCTCTCCCGTCTATATACCGTGACTACCATTAGGTGGCCTCTCCCCTCTATGTACCGCGACTATCATTTATGTCACCTCTCCCCCCTATGTACCGTGACTATCAATATGTCACCTCTCCCGTCTTCCCCTCTATGCACTGTGACTACATAACGTCCCCTCTCCCCTTCTATGTACTGTTGCTTTCTCAGGTCACCTCTCCCCTCTATATAATGTGGTTACCTCGGATCACATCTCTCCTCTGTGTACTGTGACTACATACGGTCACCTCTCCCCTCTATATACTGTGGCTACCTCAGATACCCTATCCCCCCTATATACTGTAGCTCTCACAGGACACCTTTCCCCTCTATGCACTGTGACTACTTAAGGTCACCTCCCCCCTTTATGTACAGTTGCTTTCTCAGGTCACCTCTCCCCTCTGTATACTGTGGCTACCTCAGGTAACCTCTTCCCCCTATGTGCTATAGCTATCACAGGTAACCTCTCCCCTCTATTCATCGTGACTACCATTAGGTGACGTCTCCCCTCTATGTACTGTGTCTGTCTCAGGTCACCTCTCCCCTCTATGTCCTGTGACTATCATTATGTCAGTACAGTTGCTTTCTCAGGTCACCTCTCCCCTCTGTATACTGTGGCTACCTCAGGTAACCTCTTCCCCCTATGTGCTATAGCTATCACAGGTAACCTCTCCCCTCTATGTTCCGTGCCTACCATTAAGTGACCTCTTATTAGGTGACCTCTCCCCTCCATGTACCGTGACTATCATTGTGTCATCTCTCCCGTCTATGTACCGTTCCTACCATTAAGTGACCTCTCCCGTCTATGTACAGCGACTATCATTATGTCACCTATCCCCTCTATGTACCGTGAATATCATTATGTCACCTCTCCCATCTAGGTACTGTGCCTACCATTAGGTAACCCTACTTAAGGTCACCTCCCCCCTTTATGTACAGTTGCTTTCTCAGGTCACCTCTCCCCTCTATGCACCGTGACTATCATTTATGACACCTCTCCCGTCTATGTACCGTGACTATCTTTATGTCACCTCTCCCGTCTATGAACCGTGACTATCATTATGTCGCCTCTCCCGTCTAGGTACTGTTCCTACCATTAGGTAACCTCTCCCGTCTATGTACAGCGACTATCATTTTGTCACCTCTCCCGTCTATATACCGTGACTACCATTAGGTGGCCTCTCCCCTCTATGTACCGCGACTATCATTATGTCACCTCTCCCCTCCATGTACCGTGACTATCATTGTGTCATCTCTCCCGTCTATGTACCGTTCCTACCATTAAGTGACCTCTTATTAGGTGACCTCTCCCCTCCATGTACCGTGACTATCATTATGGCACCTCTCCCCTCTATGTAACGTGGCTACCATTAGGTGACCTCTCTCCTCTATGTACTGTGACTACATATTAAGGTCATAACTCCCCTTCTATGTACTGTTCGTTTCTCAGGTCACCTCTCCCCTCTGTATACTGTGGCTACCTCAGATACCCTATCCCCCCTATATACTGTAGCTCTCACAGGACACCTTTCCCCTCTATGCACTGTGACCTGATGTAGTCACAGTACATAGATCCCTCTCTATGTACTGTGACTACATCAGGTCACCTCACCCCTGTATGTACTGTGGCTATCTCAGTTCCCCTTTCCCCTCTATGTACTGTCGCTACCTCAGGTCACCTCTACCCTCTATGTACTGTGGCTACCTGAGGTCACCTCTCCCCGCTATGTACTGTGACTACCTAAGGTCACCTCTCCCCTCTATATACTGTGGCTACCTCAGGTAACCTCTTCCCCCTATGTGCTATAGCTATCACAGGTAACCTCTCCCCTCTATTCATCGTGACTACCATTAGGTGACCTCTACCCTCTATGTACTGTGGCTACCTGAGGTCAACTCTCCCCGCTATGTACTGTGGCTACCTGAGGTCAACTCTCCCCGCTATGTACTGTGACTACCTAAGGTCACCTCTCCCCTCTATATACTGTGGTTACCTCAGGTAACCTCTCCCCCCTATGTGCTATAGCTATCACAGGTAACCTCTCCCCTCTATTCATCGTGACTACCATTAGGTGACGTCTCCCCTCTATGTACTGTACCTCTCCCCTCTATGTACGGTGACTATCATTATGTCACCCCTCCCCTCTATGTACCACGACTACCATCAGGAGACCACCCCCGTCAATGTCCCGTGAATCTCATTTATGTCTCCTCTCCCCTCTATGATATGTGACTACCATTAGGTGCCCTCTCCCCTCTATGTACCGTGACTACCATTAGGTGTCCTCTCCCCTCTATGATATGTGACTACCATTAGGTGACCTCTCCCCTCTATGTACTGTGACTATCATTATGTCTCCTCTCCCGTCTAGGTACTGTGCCTACCATTAGGTAACCTCTCCCCTCTATGTACTGTGACTATCATTTATGTCACCTCTCCCGTCTATGTACTGGGCCTACCATTAGGTAACCTCTCCCCTCTATGTACTGTGACTATCATTTATGTCACCTCTCCCGTCTATGTACTGTGCCCACCATTAGGTTACCTCTCCCCTCTATGTACCGTGACTACCATTAGGTGTCCTCTCCCCTCTATGATATGTGACTACCATTAGGTGACCTCTCCCCTCTATGTACTGTGCCTACCATTAGGTAACCTCTCCCCTCTATGTACCGTGACTATCATTTATGTCACCTCTCCCATCTATGTACTGTGACTACCATTAGCTGTCCTCTCCCCTCTATGTACCGTGACTATCATTTATATCACCTCTCCCGTCTGTGTACTGTTGCTACATCAGATAACCTCTCTTGACTCTTTGAAGTGAGTCTATCCCAGATCACCTTTCACCTCTATGAACTGAGATTATCTCAGGTCACTATTCACCTGTACGAACTGAGAGTATCTCAGATCACCTCTCACTTCAATGAACTGAGGCTTTCTCAGGTTCAGGTCACCTTTAACCTCTATGAACTTATAGTTAGGCTATCTCAGATCACCTTTCACCTCTGTGAACTGAGGCTTTCTCAGGTTCAGGTCACCTTTCACCTCTGTGAACTGAGGCTATCTCAGGTCCAGGTCACCTTTCACCTCGGAGAACTGAGGCTATCTCAGGTCCAGGTCACCTTTCACCTCTGATAACTGAGGCTATCTCAGGTCCAGGTCACCTTTCACCTCTGTGAACTGAGGCGATCTAAGGTTGTCTCCTCCATATACGTACATTGGCTATATCAGGTCACTCGTATCTTCAATTTGCTGATGATTACCTAGTGACCTAAAGTATCCCGACGATCTGGGATCGCATGCTGACCTTAGAGAGCAAGGTAGTCTGTAACATACATGTCTGGTTGTAAACCTAAGGTAACCTAAGGTAATCGGCTCATTAGTCTCGTAACACTAGATAGTCCGGTAATAACATTTTCTGTAAACACATCAACTGAAGATATTTCTAAAGATTATGCAATAATTTTCGACTCCTCTTTGGCTATACAACATTAAGTTAGTTCGCCATAAATACCATGAAGTTATGCCGTACTCTACGAGTTAGCAATGTCGTAATTATAATTTATTTCTTATGTCCTAATTATTAGCTACACATTTAGTTAACTCGTAATTATGGTATAAAGAACATTTAGCTATCGCATGCTGTGTTGTAATTATAGCATAAACATATGTATTGCAAGGGGCGTGAAGCTATATCAAGCCAGCGTAACTTATAATCAAGGAGCAATGTCGATTCTACAATCAGTAAAATTATATATCATATCTCGTATACCTTATAAAATGTAAGACTTTATGACTGAAAGGGATCGGCATTGCTCAGTAAATAAATATTCAGTTAGGTTGCCATACTAACCGGCCTCCGTTGTTTAAAACGCGCGGTCGCAAAAATAAATATAAGCGAAATTATTAATATCTACAGGACCTCCCGTGATCGATCGCGGGACAAATATGTTGTAAGTGGCTGTCAGTTTTTGAACCGTCTACATCTAAATATTGACTGGTGGCGATCGATATAAGATTTGAAGATTTGAATCACTACATTTGTCACCGAGTACAATCAGGAGGCAAATCGATTTATACACGTATGCTCATCTCCAACACGACAAATGTAACAGCTGGACATCTCACTGCGCATGTACTGGAAAACGTTTTCGTCAACGTTCCGTCTGAGGTATTATAAAGAAAAATGACCAGACAAAGATGGAGGAGTTTATGTCGAGATATTCTTATATTTCTATTCTTTCGATATCTGCAACCAACATTTGGTTTGGAACTAATTACTGGCATAGATGAACGTACGTATTACTTAATGTTTTACAACACACGTGGTTTATTTTACCTGTATCCTTACTTGTTTAACCTGTATCCTTACGTGCTTTACCTGTATCTTTACGTGTTTTACCTGTCTCCTTACGTGTTTTACCTGTCCTCTTACGTGTTTTACCTGTATCTTTACGTGTTTTACCTGTCTCCTTATGTGTTTTACCTGTATCCTTACGTGTTTTACCTGTATCCTTACGTGTTTTACCTGTATATTTACGTGTTTTACCTGTATCCTTACGTGTTTTACCTGTATACTTACTTGTTTAACCTGTATCCTTACATGTTTTACCTGTATCCTTACTTGTTTAACCTGTATCCTTACGTGTTTTACCTGTATACTTACTTGTTTAACCTGTATCATCATAGATATAACATATTTAGATACCTATGTATCTTTAATGACAAAATAGTTATCTGTATCAAAATGAAACGATATCTATAAAGTTATATAGTATTACTTATAAATAAGGTAAATCAAGTTGAGGAAACTGCTGTGAGTAATAGTGAAAGAAAATGTGAAAAAGTACGTGTACACTCACTTACATACACATCTCACAACACTACTGTCGTCCTTTTTTCAAGTTCAAATTCTTTATAACCTTGAGTCTTTCGACTCATCGATTTCAAACGTGAAATATTTACAGTTTATTACGATATTTACACAAAATAAAATACCACACCAACACTGTACGAACAGTTCGGAGATTAATCGGTTTCTTCTTACATTTCGAACTTTTATATGTTCGGCGAAATTGACAAGTTCTTTTGTGCCAGTAACATTAAATAATTCTGTTATTTTAAACATTTTTTTTTTTATAGTAATTTTTCAAAACATTAACACGAATTTCATAACACCATGGCATTTTTACATAAAATGAAACTACATACAGTACATACTCTAGAATAAGTTCAATATTTCCACCTTTTTCTTTATTTAAACTATGAGCGGTAGCCTAATTTTTGTAATTTCGTTCAATTATTACCCTACCTATCTCGCAATACCTTCCCTATCTTTTATTCAATTTCCAATAACCCTGCTACTAAAGTATGTAAGGCTCTGTAACAACCACTATTGTAAACCCACCCACTATTCCGTGCTACCCTTTAATCAATTTCCAATAACCCTACCACTAAAGTATGTAAGGCTCTGTTACAATCTCTATTGTACATCCACCCACTATTCCGTGCTACCCTTTAATCAATTTCCAATAACCCTGCTACTAAAGTATGTAAGGCTCTGTAACAACCACTATTGTAAACCCAACCACTAATCCGTGCTACCCTTAAATCAATTTCCAATAACCCTGTTACTAAAGTATGTAAGGCTCTGTAACAACCACTATTGTACATCCACCGACTAATCCGTGCTACCCTTTAATCAATTTCCAATAACCCTGCTACTAAAGTATGTAAGGCTCTGTAACAACCTCTATTGTACGTCCACCCACTATTCCGTGCTACCCTTTAATCAATTTCCAATAACCCAGCTACTAAAGTATGTAAGGCTCTGTAACAACTTCTATCGTACATCCACCCACTATTCCGTACTACCCTTAAATCAATTTCCAATAACCCTACCACTAAATTATGTAAGGCTCTGTAACAACCTCTATTGTACATCCACCCACTATTCCGTGCTACTTTTTAATCAATTTCCAATAACCCTGCTACCAAAGTATGTAAGGCTCTGTAACACCCTCTATTGTACGTCCACCCACTATTCCGTGCTACCCTTTAATCAATTTCCAATAACCCTACCACTAAAGTATGTAAGGCTCTGTAACAACTTCTATCGTACATCCACCCACTATTCCGTGCTACCCTTAAATCAATTTCCAATAACCCTACCACTAAAGTATGTAAGGCTCTGTAACAACCTCTATTGTACATCCAACCACTATTCCGTGCTACCCCTAAATCAATTTCCAATAACCCTACCACTAAAGTATGTAAGGCTCTGTAACAACCTCTATTGTACATCCACCCACTATTCCGTGCTACTTTTTAATCAATTTCCAATAACCCTGCTACTTAAGTATGTAAGGCTCTGTAACAACCACTATTGTAAACCCACCCACTCATCCGTGCTACCCTTTAATCAATTTCCAATAACCCTGCTACTTAAGTATGTAAGGCTCTGTAACAACCACTATTGTACATCCACCCACTATTGTAACCCAGCTACATGTACACCAGCGGTTAACATTGTCGATACTAAACATATTAATTAGCGGTATCACCGATCAATGTAACCTGCGTTACACTAGAGGATGATATTGTATCCGCTAATGCAATCAGTGTTAAATATTTTAGGTTTATAAAAATAATAATTATAAAATAATTATAAAAAAAAGTTACCTAACATGTCTGATCATGAACTTCCGGTTCATGAACATCGTTTAGGTGTCAGTGGTATCGCTCGAATAACAGCATTTTGAGTGACTTTTGTTTCAGTAAGAGCAACTGCTACGTCCGACACTGACATCTAAGATCATTTCCAGTTTTTACTTGATGTCGACCGGCATGGTAATGCAATAGTTTTGACCTTCAACTTCTGCTTTTTAACGCTCAACTATACATAAGCTGTGAAAACATATTTTATTGCAGCAACAAAATTTCAGATTTCCTTTGTCAGGGCCGCTTTCGTTTATCGGCAATCCAAACTGTGGAAAGGTTGTCCAGAGTTATTTGTTTATGAAATAAGGTCAGGCATAGTAATCTGATGCTGCTTTCAGGCGAGTATTGACAAAGTCTTGCAAGGCCTGCATAGACATTTGCAAGTCCGTCAGGATTTATACCTGAACATATTACATTTAAAAACAGACATACCGTTGTTCCGCATAAATTAACAGCCCCAAGCAAATCGATCAGTGTATTCAAAGTTACTATAAATGTAGCCCGAGTTTCCTCTGGCCCTACAGCAGACTTAGGCATTTTGACAGATAGATGTCTGGTGTAAAATGTCTAAGTCTGGTGTCAGTGCCAGAGGAAACTCGTGCTACTTTAAATCTCTTCTTCAGCTTAGTAAACTCTGCGTATATATTAGCATATTGGCAGTGAAAAAAAAGTTCGACGGATTGACACATCTTTCAAATAATGCGCCGGGGTACTTCTTTCTTTACTTACGCGCACCGTAGCATGTGTTCCTTGACAGCTGCGTTCATACTACCGTATACGCCGTCAAGATGAAGGTCAATCCTCATATATAATAGTTTGGTCGATTTCCTCGCAACATCTGTCCAAACATTATACAACACGTGCAACGATTGACGAGTTTACAAATAAAAGTAATCAAGGAACAAAAATAGATCATGGTAGATTGTTCTATGTCGCATTAAGTATTCTTAGCAATAGCAGCGGTTTATCTTAAGCTGACGAGGTAACAAGGACACACTAATCAATGAAATACAAATAGGCGAATACATTCACTGAGTTCATCTTCGCCACAACGATACTTTCACTGAAGTGGATTTTGTCAGTGTGGAACTAGCACTAAGACGAAGCTGAACCAGCAGTCAAGCAGTTATGTTCAGTATATAGTACAGTAATAATTAGAATAGAGTACGGACAAGAATATCCGGAAGTTTATTTTTATATAAAAAATGTGAATGTATACTTCTTTGTTAACATATATGTATGACGAATACCGATATTTGATCGAATATTTTGAACAGTATTTACATTATTTAAAGGCTATTCTAGACGCCCATGTACATTATATGTATATATATGTTTATGTCATAAAATTTTGGAAAATATAATAAAAAAAATTTGTTCAGTATTCATTTTACGATAGTTTCAGACATCACAGTTATAAAGGTACCTAGTGTTTATTTGACTAAAATAAAAACAGTATTGTATTTACATGGTCATAGTGATAATAGCATATTGTTATAAAAGTATTTAATATATATTTGACCATAATGACAGCAGTAAGGTTATATAGGTATCCAGTGTTTATTTGACTATTGTGAAATCAGTAAGGTTACATATATCAAGGATTTATTCAACCATAGTGACAATAGTACGGTTATATAGGTACCCACTGTTGATTTGATCAACGGAACAACATAAAATGTCTTGAAGGAATGAGACTCTGAAAGCACTCCATTTTGAAATTATAATAAAATGAAACAATAGTATATATTATTTATTGTGTTTTTCATCCAACTATGATAATAGATATAGACGACCTGTTGTAATTTGTTATCACTTAACTTACAAACTAGCACAATAATCTGAGTAACTAACAATTGTTCATAGCAGCTTTGTTTCCTTTTTCAGTGGTGGACACCTACGAACATCTTAATCTTGTGCGGACAGTAAATGGCGGGGAATTTATGATGGGCGTCAATGACCCACGCTCCGACAGCGGAGAATATCCTCCTCACAACATAGGGGTGGGATCCTTCATCATCGATCGCTTCCCGGTCACAAACGCCAGATTCTGGTCAGTAAAGTTTTTATCAAACAGACAATCGCAAGGGTCTGGTCATGTAAAGTTTTATCAAACAGACAACCGCAAGGCTCTGGTCATGTAAAGTTTTATCAAACAGACAACCGCAATGGTCTGGTCATGTAGAGTTTTATCATAGACTTATGTGAATGTGTTTTGATAGTACATATCAGTCGGTTATCAAAATGAAGTTGTAATGTTCATAGCCTATCGTCGGTTACATCAGCGGATGATTCGAAGAGTCCCAGCTGAAAAGGCGTTCGGCTCCTTGGGTAATTCAACATCTTGTATAACCACTTAAGTGATGGCCTTGTCTCGTGGGTCTGACAACTGGCTGTATCACTATAGTAAGATTTTACCAGATGTTTTCTTTTTAAACCAGGAAATTTCGTCAAAAGAGAAAGCGCCATTACACCGGAAGTGAAATCCGAGGGTGGAGTTGGGTATTCCGGGATTTTGTCAGTAAGGAGACTCTGGCCAAAAGTACCCCGTCTAGGGACCCCTGGTGGGTGGCAGTCCACGGCGCCACCTGGCGGAAGGTAGGGACGCTTTTTTGTTGTCGCATTTATTTAAGGACTTAAAGACATCTTTTTAACATTGATGATGGTATGCAACACTCTTTCATTCAAAAATATTTCATGATGCACGGTTAATAGTTCTTGCTGCTATTTGTTTATAAAAGTACATTTTTTTTAGAAAACATACCAACAAATATATATTATTTGATATTTATCTTATTGTCGGTGTTACTAATTTGTCAAAACTGCAGACATTAAATTACTTAAGCATTCATACTTGAATATTTACTCATAGAATAATAGGTATCCGGCATTGTCTCCCACAAGATCTTACTTCATCTCGGAACGTATTTTACCTCGAGAAAAACTTGGTCGAATTCTGGAAAGATCTCGAGTTGACGTACGATCCTACAGCTAATATATATACAGACTTATGCTATGTTTACGATAATGTATTTTAAATTATATTGATGTGGATATAGAGGCAGCAATGCCTGCTTGCGCTAATATCCAGTAAATTACACAAAAAAACACCTCATCAAAATAAATTCAAAATACAGTTTAAGATGCCTGCATACGTACAAATAGAACTGCGCCAGACTGCTAACAAATCTAATGACTGTGATTAGTTAATCACATGGCTATATTTTTCTTTGTTGCCTTTTTCACATCTATGGTAAAAAAATTTTTTTTATTGAAGTAATACGATAAAAATGACTTTGAACCTGTTAGAGGTTAGCACAAAAGTATTTCACTATGAATAGTTCTTCATAAAGTGTATACACGATTGCTCTCTTTTCGTAGAAGTATGAAATGGGTTTTTATATACTGTCCAACTTGACCAGAAACCTTGTATAACTAGAAAGATTACCACCTCTATTCAAACTATGGTTTATGAATACTACTTCCAGCAACTATAACTATGCCCTGGACACTCTTTTCCGGCACAACGTTTGGTTTGATAAATCATTACTGAAAAGAAAAAGTTCTTTGTGGAACCTGTATGAAAAAAGGTTAAAATAAATAAAGAAAAGAATAAGCAACAGTATTATGAGTGTAAAAACATATTTGGGTAATTTTAGGATTCGAAGGTCTAAGGTTTAAATAATTACTTCGCTCTACCATTTATACCACTATTTTCTCGTGGCAGCCCGAAGGTCCAGACTCCACTATCAAACACACTCTGGATCACCCTGTAGTCCACGTTACTCTGAACGACGCGGCGACCTTCTGTAAGAACGAGGGTAAACGGCTGCCGACGGAACACGAGTGGGAGTATGCCGCTAGGGGCGGGGCAGATGGTAAGTTTAGACCTCGGCCCGTATTCATAAAACCGTTCTCATGCTCAAGCATGGATTTTGTGCTCAAGCCTGATTGTTTTGTTCTGGCTATAAATCAATAACAAATATTATTTTGTCAATGATTTGGAAAAACATTCGAAGAGACTTAAAGCAAAATACTGTTTCAGTGTAAAGTTTTGACTTTTTGATCATTTGACATGAATTGAGCACAGAATCCATGCTTGAGCATGATGACGGTTTTATAAATACGGGCCCGGAAGAGGTGATACGTTAGATAATTGTAATTAAATAGGGATTGACAGGTCTTGTCATCCCAAAATCTTACTACGATGAAGTTACCTTCCATTTCCTGCCTCTCGCGATCCATCAGAGTGTAGTTCGACCCTTCCGACCATTCTTATCTCCCTTTGTCCTCTGTCGGTCCAACTCCCCTTACCAATACTCCTACCATCGTAAGTTCCCAAGTAATGTTCCATTTTACGTTTTGTTTTAGGGCTGACTTACCCATGGGGCGAGAGTTACAAAAGAAATAGGGCAAACATATGGCAGGTATGTATAGTGAAACCTCATTTTTACCGACACCTGACTCTAAGGACATCCCGTGGTATTCTACACGGTTTAATTAGTGAAACTAATTGTACCGTATTCAATACTTACTTCACTTAAACAATGTCTTTTGGAACCGAATAATTTGATTATTGTTCATAATGAACAAGTGGATATTATAAATGTCGCTCCACAAATATTACCTAGAATAGTTTAATCAAATTTAATTAATTTGACAAAGTACACATTTGTTTACCGAATGACTGAGTTTCTTGATAAATTATATCTTATGTATTGAAAACGATTTGCCGTTAACAGTTAGTATTTTGAAGCATTATGATTTATTGTATTATATCAAAAATCTTATATATCATAACATACTAACAGTATCATTCTATGAAGCAATGTATTGTGTTTTAATACACTTCAAAATATCATCTCGACGGACTCCATGTAAGATAACCAGAGGCACACAATTTCTTTGCGCAGTTACAGTATGTAAGACATGTTTACTTTAAAACCCAGGGATTCAGGTAGCAGTGTACAGTAGAAATGGCCCGACTCTGATAAACAAGGCACATGTCGAGGAAATGTGAACACAGCGGATTTACCCTACTCAACACATGTATACATATATATATTTGTAAACTGCATTACATTTACAATACATATAAAGTACTGAGAAGTGTATAAACCTCTTTTTCTATGTATGTCACTTGTGTGAAAACCATGGTTACCACATCAAAAATTACCAAAAAATGCCAAAAAATGCTATTTTAAACCCAAAATTGGACCCCCGCAACTAGTAATTTTTTTCCTAAACTCTGTCTGAAAGTATAGATTACCTACCTGGTTGCAGAATTATCTGGGTCCCAGTAAAGTTGTAAAACTTGATTTTTTGCAATTTTGCGTCGTGTGCTGTTGTCAAAATTTTACCTCCTGTAAAGCTAACTTTTCATGTGTACGCACCCTTTCGGATTATGGCCAAAATTCTATTCTCGAACCAAAGAAATCTTCTTTTTTTTTTTACAAATGCGAAGCTCACATAGCCCACTTCATCATGCTTATACCAATTTTAGTACAGTTTTATTTTTATATTTTTTTTACATATCATTACACAGGGGTTAGCCATTTCACAAAAATATCACCCATGGCCACAACCCTCTACTGTATACTGCTACCTCAGATTGTATCTTACATGGTACTTTGTACCTGTATCGTCGATCGATAAAACCTAATATCCAGCCTGTGTAGCTACACAGTATGGGGCCAAAGTAACTGAAGTTATTTTGATATTTTTTTGTTCTTGTATTTCTCTTTAGACTTCTTCTTTTATTTGTGATATTGATACTTTCTGAACATTTTTTTAAATCCAGATAAGTAACCATAACATTTCATATATCGTAGGTAGTGAACTATTACCGAAATTAGCAAAGTACCTGGAACAACCTTCCGGTGGACATTGTATCCGCTTCAAATATCAATACTTATAAGAACAGAATAGATAAACTAAGGCAGAATGAAGAACTTTATTTTAATTATAGGGCAAATTTAACATTAACTTCAACTCTGTATCCCATCTTTAAACTCATGATATGTGTATGAGTAATCTCCCTTGGAACTGTTTCTTTAGCATCAGTTCATACTATCGTACATATTTCGAATTTATAATTATTCATAAGAAAACTATTCCACTATCCATCACGAACTCTTTTAGAACTGAGAGTCATGTCACTATAAGGTAGCTAACATCTAAATTCAGGTCGTACTATTGTATATGTGAAGTGAGGTCTGATGAAATGTTTCTGTTTTTACTATACTTTTCATATAATATTATACTCAAAACGACATCTTACACCGGTAAAATGTGAAAGATTGCTGGAACTCAGTGTTTCATGTAAATGAAGTGATTATTCGTCTGGAACAATCTGATTGCAGATAGATATATATTATATATCCAATTGAATGTTAATTAAATACTGTGAAATCAGATACTTTCGTGGAGCCCAAATATTGTAGTTTCTCGACAAAACACCGTTTCGTGGATACTTTAATTCGTAAATTACGAGTTCCTACTTAAACGGAAAATACATCAAACTTGTAATTACTTCGTGAACGTAGGAATTTGTGGATGACGAAGACCACGAAATCAACGAAATTAAAAACCACACGAAAATAAGTGATTTCACCGTATGTGATGTAGCATGATATAGTCTTATTTTTCACAATAGGGTCCGTTTCCGAACAGCACAAACCACAGGGACGGTTGGAAAGGGCTGTCCCCAGTCAACGCATTTAAACCTCAGAATGACTACGGTAAGTGCTCACCTACCAATGTCACGTTAGCAGACAAGATAAGTGGGGTTTCTAAAAAAGTATATTCAAAGTCGGAACAGTTTCTTGTGAATATTTGCTGAGAGGTCTGGTAGCGATATGGTATTCTTTAACCGTTAGGATAAATACGATCTGGGTAATAAATACATTCCCTAAAAGAATCAACCTTCTTCGTCTACAAATGACTTTCGTCGTGCTTGTTGTAAGACCATTTTTCCAAACTGTTTAACTGTGGACGCGTTTCTGAGAATGTGACGTCTTTTTATCCTCCGACCGGTTGAGTAGTAGAATATTTGCACTTTTCACGCACAACATATACCTTACGTAAAGGCTAATGTTGTTTTGAACGCCAACAGGAATCGAAAACTTATTTTTAGAACTTTCGAAAACTTCACTTTCCTTTGTCAAGCAAAGATTTGCACTCCTTGCTTGACAAAGGAAACAGACGTTATCGAAAGCTCGCAAAATAGGTTTTGTTCAAAACAAACTTAGCATTTATTATTTATACCAAACTGATGAATCTTATTCCGAATATAGCTTACGAATGATCTATACATAGAAGTTCGCCAGATACTTGAGTAATTAATGTGAATTTACTCGAAAATAACTATCAAGCAATACATAAGTAACCTAAAGTTACAGTGAACGATATAACAATAGGTTGTTCTACCTACGTGGTAGGGATGCTGTTTTAAACATAGGTTCAAACTAAATAACGAGTCGTATGGCATGGCAAGAAAAGGGAGTATATAGCCTAGCAATGCCACACAGGGGCATCCTTGAGCTAAGAGAACTAATGTTTATTTTTGTGTAAAAATCTAAACATATCAAAAACAACAAATGTTAAACCTCAAACGATTACTATATTGACATGTCACGCGATTGATTTTCAGATTTGTTTGACGTATTGGGAAACGTGTGGGAATGGACAACTACGAGATATTTCGAGAGGTTGGTCGATCGTAGACTACAGGAAGAGATGTACGTCGTCAAGGGCGGGTCATACATCGACACTTTTGATGGGCAGAGCAATCATATAATTCGAACAGCACAGAGGTATAACGACTGTTGTATACAACATATAAATAAGATGGCCATTGTTTAAACCTACAGAGGTGTAATGGTCATTTTATTATTTTAGAACTATGTAATAGCACACGCCCGTATCACCATTTTGAGTTTTCTTGTTGTTTTGAAGTCCTTGTCCCGCAAAGTAATCATCATTTGTCGGGATGATAGCTATATTGTAACATCTGTTTGAGTGGAATTAGTTTTGGAAATACAAGAATATTTGGATTTCATGTTTGGTAAATTTTGGTATTATGCGTTTATTAGGTTTGAGTATAACTTTTGTTATTGACATTTGTTTGGTTTGAGTAATACTTTAATACTGTTATGGAAAATAACTTAGACATTAAAAATAATGACACACGTGCCAGGTACACAACAGTTGATATATGAGAAGTACACAAGGTTGATGATATATTTTAAAGATACATAATTTATAATATTAAATTTGAGAGATACACAAGGATCAATGAGATATTCGAGAGGTTAACATAAGTCAGTGATATATTTACACAAAAGTTGATGGAACACAAGGGTTGATGATACATATATGAGGTACACAAGAGTTGTTAATAAATTAGAAAGTACACAGGAAATGATGATTCATTTAAGAGGTACACAGGAATTGATGATACATTTAAGAGGTAAACAAGAGTTGATGATACATTTAAGAGGTACACAAGAGTTGATCATAGTAAAAAAGGTACACAAGAATTGATGATAATGTAAGAGGTACGCAAAATATGATGATACATTTAAGAGGTATGCAATAGTTGATGACAATATACGAGGTACACGAGAGTTGATGACAATTTAAAAGGTACACACAAGATGATGATAATATAAGAGGTACACAAGAGTTGATGACAATTTAAAAGGTACACAAAAGATGATGATCATATAAGAGGTACACAAGAGTTGATGACAATTAATTTAAGAGATACACAAATGATGACGATACATTTAATATAATCTAACATATAATTGTAAACTGTCTATAGTCAGGATTGCCTAACGATAGGTCTTAGCAGTTAAGTCATATAACATACAGGTTGATTTCCATACAAATAACAATAATAATATGTTTTTCTCTTATACACTCTGTACAAAAACAATCGCAGCATGTTCACGTTAATATGAAAATTATATTGTACAGATCAAGCTGTACAATGCACTATATTAAGCAGCAAATGCCTTTAAAATGTGTTTTTCGTACTCATGCTGCGTGTTTGGAATTGTTTCAGGATGGGTCTAGCTCCCGACTACACGGCACACAATGTCGGATTCCGATGTGTGCTGCCAATACCACACGAGAAATTTAATAAAGCTGCAAAGAAACGGAAAAGGAAATCTAAGAGTTATAGACAGCGAGACGAACTATGAGCCCTCTTGTATTTATCACCACCTCGTACTAACTCGCACAGATCATCTGCTATTGTCCTTTTTTGTTCTTATATACTGTAAATTTGCTATAAATGATTTACTGTAAATCTTTTGTGTTTAAAAAATACTTCGGGAATCTTTTGATTCTGTTTAGCTTTTCTTGTGGTCTAAGAAAACGTTACGTAAAAAGTGTTTCGGAAATCTAATTTGATATGAACATATATCTTACAGAAGGGCGTGCCATGTCAACAGATAGGCCAACAGGTAAACTGAATCGTGACTATGCACAAACTGTAAAACTTCGACAGGTATTTTGCTTTCAGGGAACGAATTTGATGAGCTAAGTATGATTTAATCCACATATTTTCTGTTTGAAAATTCGACTGATCTCTGTGTGGTTTGGTTGTTGGAGTTTAACGTGGTGTGTTTAAATGTGTATGTACGTTTGTTATATCTAATATAATGAAATCAGTAGTATCTCATTGATTCTGGTTTATCAATTCTCTGAAACGTTCAAAATATCCGTGGTCAGGGATTGAGGATGTCATCCCCCGTGATAAACTTATAACACCTACATTACTAAACTCATTAATATATTATTTTATTTAGCCTATTGGCAGAGGTTTCATTCAGCTAGTTTGCATTTCATGTACTGAAAAAGATCATAAAACACACAATAAATGTAGGAGAAATATATTGAGATATTTAAGGGTGAGCAAACTAACTAATTTGCATTGATATAGTCAATTTACTACATATGCAATGGTTGTTGAAGTTAAAGCTGAATTTCAGCAGTGTATAAATAAGTAATCATTATTTCCAAGTTTGGTTACTCAAAGGTGTTTAACTCCATTAGTTTTCGTATATGGATTTTATCGTAACTGCCCACTTACCGAACACAGCTGCTGTGTTTGAGCAGGAGTATATTTACTGAAAATACACAAACTGCATTTGATTACAATTACATCGGGATATTGGAGCCGGAAAACATGGTCACAGTTTATAGGACTTCCTATGCTCATTTCCAGATAGATTCACACAAAATCATTCACTTGCACTAATCATTACAAATCGACCTATGATTAACTTTATTCTGTAGTTGTCTAGCACATGTAAGCACATCTATAAATTCACACTCAGACGCATAATTATGCGATCACAATTACATCTTTAAAGAAAAAGGACTAAGAATATCATGAATTCACCGAAAGGTTCTGACTAGGTTTTTTCTGGGTTTTTTTTCTGAGATATTTCTTAACTTAGTCGTTCTGAATCCTTTCAAATCCACTGTACGTCAATAGCGTTACCTGTATCCTAGATACAAAATTTGCGTCATTGGTCATTTAGCTAATCTGGACTTAGACTATGGTCCTGCTTTTATCCTGTTATATTTTCTGTCTTTACTTCAGTCCCTGTATTCAAAAACACAAGAAAAAGTGTTTTTTTTAATAGCAATAATGCATTGTGGGATAAGTAAAAAACTTTCACAAATTAGATTTATTAACATATAACTAATATCTATGCCAAGTTGCATGCTTATCTCAAAATGCCATTATGTAAAATCAGCACATTAACATTGCAAATAGACAGAACAATTGATAAAACAATGAAAGCGATATAAATTTTACCGATTAAAACAGATACTGTCTTTGAAGCAAGGAGACTTGAAATTACCAGCAATTTTTTTTTTATATATTAAACTAATCATTCTACTGTAGTTTTGGTGGCAAATGCCATTTTTTATTTTTATGTTAACTTTGATAAGTAAGAAAATATATCAGGGTCTGGACCTCACTTCAGCCACAGGTGCTGAGCTATATTATATGAAATATACAAATATATATTAAATTCACTTAAGATAGATGATCATTTAGATGATTACTTTTATGTAAGTGACTTTCAATAAGTAAAGTTGTAAATTTCACATCAAAATGTTAATTAGAAAGAAAATTATTGAGTAAACCAAACACGTGTTATTTGAAAATTACCTAAAAGACTCCCCTGACTAAATCCTCCGTTTTATATAAACAATCTTTAAGTATCGGTTGAATGTTTGTCATTTTTCATTCTTTTATATATGCTGGTTTCATTTAAACATGTTTTCAAAAACATACATAGAATTATTTTGGTTGTTTTACTTTATTTTGAAAACAGCAAATTATATTTGGGATTTACCCTCCCCCTTTTGGAACCCAAAAACCATCTTTCGGTCAAATTGTTGCCTTAGTTTTTGCGAATGTAATACTTTTGGATATCCTTGAATAAATTAAGCAGGTGAAAATCCGAATATACCGGGGCTCAAAAAAGGGCCTTATAGACACTCATCCTTACAACCCTTCCGATATTATATCTTGTTTACATTGTATTTGTGTCTGAAAGTATTTTACCTGAAATGATTTCAACATGAAAACGAAATCTTATACATATAGGACAGAGAAAAGGCACTTTCCTTTTCACTTTGCCTGTTATGGTTTAATATAATAAAACCAACTTCCTTTTTGAATAACGAGTTTGTTTGTTTATTGTTGTGTTGAGTCGTGCAGTGTTGATGCGTACACAGTGTAAAAGGGTTAGGAAGAATGTTGATTTATACACAGTGAAAAACGATGTCAGATATGTAGTTTCAAAACATTACAAAGGAAGATTTTAACGTTGCGATTAGTTATGAAACACTGTGGATATATAACTTAACATTAAAAAAAATATTTACCGCAGAAAAAGTCGATAATTTTGATACGGAAATGCCTGCGCCAAAACTAGTTATGAGTTTAAAAACAACATTGTCTGTTACTACATCTTTGTTGCCAAGCCTGTTTCCGAGTATACTTTTTCTGGTGCGCTTTGTCTACATACAAATCTAGCATTGCTTAGATGATACTTGATTGCGGATTCTCTCCTACATTGATAGGTGATTTCAAATCAAGGATTGTGTGTATGGCTGTTTACAATATTGGGCGGTGCTGGACTAGTAGGATACTGTGTGCTACAAAGCAGTTGGACGCGGATACACGGTCCTACAACTTGTTCGTCGGAAAGGAATGCGCCTGATAGCGATGAACCACTGCAAAAGCACCTAGGAGAGAAAAAATGCTCCTGAAAACAGGAAAGGCTAAAAGATTTAGAACATTTATGCTAACCTTTAAATTGATTGAGATTGTTTACCAATGAAATATAAGATTTTAGAAACAAATAAGATATTTTTGGTAGTGACAGAAAATATTTTAACTGTTTTCACAGTAAATCGATCTAGCAGAAAGTAAGTAAATAACAAGCATTTGCAGTTGTGACGTCACAAAACAGCATTGCTTGTCACAATTTGAGAAACTAAACTATCTGTGCACTGAAACCCATATGTTTAGATACAAAACATAATGGTCCGCTTTATCAGACTGAAATAAATACGTCCGAATTCCGACAGGAGCCTTAAAATCCTCATAAAATGTCTATCTAACCAGCTTTTAAATACATTGTTTGTGTAAACAGTCACCAGAGATTCCGGAACGCTTGTCTCCATGTCATAGCTCCCTTGTGGAATTTTAAATATCTTGGTCGTGTCTCCTCTACGTCGGCCATACGATCATTTGGCAGTTTCGATTTTGTAGGCGTCCCGGATATCTGAGATTCTTGAGACCCGGTTTTTGTTTTGTGTTTATTCGTTGAAGTCCGTTCAACTTGTTTTATTTTTACGGTGATATGACAGGACTTCAAAATCAATATGTGTGTACTCATTTTACTTTTGTAAAATAGTTTGAATGTATCGATGTCCCTATGCTGAAATATTCTCTTTTAAAAGCAAACACATTGAGTTGAAATTTTATATATATTGTCACTGATATTTTTTTCAATATTTAAAGCAATCTTTATATTCACCATAAGATCCTTCTGGATATTGGTTGTAAATTTTATATTGTTAAATCCATATAAGGTAGGTATATCTGGAAGCGACTCACCCAAATACACATACTTGCTTTTCTCTGGGAGGATATTTTAGGAGCCATATGTCGCACATTGTGGCCACCTTGTTTAGACGAAGGATGACTTAAACAGCTCGTCATCAGCTGATGGTGGACTAATCAATAAATGAAAAATGATATAAAAAAAAACGTGAATACACTGTTTGAGCTGTTAAGTCACAGCAACCTCTCCTATATGTTGACATCAAAGGGTTTTCTTAGGACCAGCACCGGTCCATGCACATGTTCCTTCAAATATTTTTACCCAACAATCGTTGTGAAGTTGATATTTATCCTAAATTGTATATTTCTGATATTGTATGGAGTTTCGTTTGTAATGTCTGCTAAACCACTTAACATAGGTGTGGTATAACCATACAGAGATGAAGTACTAAGCGTTAACGTTATCAGCAGGTCACCTGATTGTTTTTTTCATAACAGGTAAAATGTCCCTATCAATCCAAAACTGAATTTCATTTCTTTGTACGCCTTTCCTTACATGGCAGGGAGTATTCCTCCACATAATTCCAGACTGTATTTAAGACCTATACCAAAGGAAATTTCGGTATAAATAGGATATAAAAGAATGATTCTCAACGTTTGCATTACAATTAGCCCGAGGAAGCTGGTTCTGCTATCGTATAGGTCAATTGGAAAAACTGTATTTGATATATTTTACAGACAATTAGCTGAGGTGCTAGAAGAAAGGTAAGCATTTTATAACTTATTACTGGTTAGCCTATCAAGGGAGACAGATATGCTACAGTGTGTATATATTGTTGATCTTCCAATTAATAATTATTGTATTCATATACATAAGTCCTTATATCAATATTGTTGAAAGCGCAACAAAAACAAACATTCATCTTCTTCAATGTTTATGGTTCGGAGATAATTTCATCAATTTTGTCAGCACATATTTTATGTCGAATTGAGAAGTTATTTTTGGAAGTTTTTGATAACCATAATATCCCATAGCCCCAAATGAAAATGCTCGACAACATCCATTATTTTCATGATTTAGATTATACGACGAGGTATCTTTGGACAGGTTATCTCTCTTTTTGTACTTTATTGTTATGCAACATTTGATATAGCGCCCTAACTGTTATCTAGCTAGAATAAGCCGCTCTTAGGCATTTAGCAACATATATATTCAAAATTTATATAATCGACAGAATATATCAATCAGTACAATTTGAGGATTTTGCTGGAGCTGCCTTACAAGGTGCTGCAGTCCTTAGCCTCCTGGCATATACCTTCACATTTGTTTATAACCACGAGTAAGGGTGAGAAATATTGTTGTGAGAATCCTATGTTGAGGTAGGCTGGATTCCAAAGGTATCTCCTTTTTTGTAGTGACACGTCACTTGAACGTTACGGCCCATCCTCCTGTCATTGTATGCTTTACCTGGGTTGTTTTAGTTGTATGGCCAGGAGAAAAACACTTTCTCTGAACTATCCATGTTATAGAAAGATGGTCTATAATACATTGGTTTTTATAGAGAGGTGGCGCCTATGGCTAGTTTTACTTTCGTAACACATCAAGTGGTAGTTATATGGTCACCGAAGCAGGTTTTATGGATGTTAAAAACATTTGCTTACTATAGAGGTCAGTAATTAAAAATTAGCGTGATCTGTAGATATAAACAGGTGAATATCACATTTATAGTGGTAGTTATGTCAGACGTTTGTTTTTAAGTTGTCCTTAAGCAAGTCTGTGGTTTTACAACCAGTAACTAAAAACATGTGACACTTAAGGCGGGGTTGACTGTGCCTATATACCATGCATGGATGATTTTATGACTCCGTGCTCTAATTATAAGCAAGTATTAGAAACATCTTAACAGGAAATCTATAATAAGTGACATTTTACCGATTTATCTCGTCACCAATGTTTCACACTGTATATACCGGTACTTTAAGCAAACTAAATGTAACACAAAAACTCATTGTGTTACCCCAGATTGTAAAGGAAACAACTTAACGTATGAGTCACATAATCAGCTTTTTAGCAATGCGATGTCAAGGGTGTCGGGATTTATTTTGAATTGCAGAATCGATAAAACAATCTGCCTACAAATAGATTTTGTTTGATTATATTTGTTTGCATGACGCGAAAGTTGTAAATTATATATCGCATTGTAGCAAGTTTGTCTGCGTCAATCAATAAACTTAACTTAACTTTAAACAAGGGGAAATGTGAATAAAAGAAAAACAATACATGGAGACCCTTAAAAAAGTACATGGAGAATAAGACAAGGTGCTAAGGAAAGACTCTTTCGCGTCATGCATAAAAATATATGAAAACACAATGTTATTTGCAGGTAATTTTCAATCTGCCAGGCAACCTGTACTCAGTTGATACGACACATTTTTGTTATCGAAACAGTGTCTCACGCGACTACAACCTCTTTTTAAAAGTGGGTTGGGTTAAATTGAATCCAATTACTTTTTAAAATGTCAGTATTGATTTGCTTTCCCATGTATTTAAGAGATGAATTCTAAAACTTGATAATCCATTTTATTGATAAATGCAAAAAATATTCATGATACGATATAACACAGTATAGCTTTGACAACATACATATCGACGTCAATGAACTGTTGTATATGTAGCCACTGTGAAAATAGAAATACTAATGTTATGAAGTGCATAATTATCATGACTAATAATTTCTAGTTAAAATAATGATGTTATTTCTTGCAAATATTGTTGCACATGTCAATCTTTTAAACAGTTGCGAAGCAAAGCTGGCGTCGTAAGATGTTGACAATGTTTTAGTAATATAAGATTTACGTGCTAATAATGCGCGCAGCTAGAAATCCAAAGTGAACACTTTTTAGAGTTCAGTGGCACAATTTTCCAACATATTTTGGCATT